AGGGGGAAGAAGGTAAGAAACTGCAGGGGTTGAGAGGGGCTGGGACTTAGAGTGAGGAGCAGACCCAGACCCCTTCCCCGCTTCCCTCCTTTACCACCTTCCTGGGCCACTAGTGGAGCCCTTGGTGCCCCAAGAGCAGGGGCAAAGGGTGGCATCTTTGCCCCTGCCAAGAAAAGCGCAGGACACACCATACTACATTGGCCATCTTGTCACAGGCAATAAAGAAAAATGGGGGCCAGTCAGGTCATGGGCAATAAAGAAAAATTCATGGAAGCTGTGACCTGTCCCTTTTACTAAAAATATCCATGATAAAATGGGAGGGGGCTGGGCAGCTGCAGGGTGGCTGGGAGCTCTCAGCCCCCCCCCCCACCTGTGGGGGCTCAGAGCTGCAGAGGTCCCCCTGCCCTGCTGTGCAGATGTGGTACTCCCCCTGCCCATGGTGGTACAGAGCTTGAGGGCCCACTGCCTCAGGCGGCAGGTGTACTTCACAGCTCCCTGCCACTGTGGGAGGTGGTGGGACCCTGCAGCTCCCAGCCACTGGGGCTGAAGTCACAGAGGTCTTTGGAAGTTACAGATTCCGTGACTTCCGAGGCCTCTGTGTCAAAATTGTAGCCTTAGTCATAGCCACTATATTTCCAGTCCCAAGAATTCAAACCTCATGAGTCAGGGTCCCAAACTTCATGTAATTAGCTTAAAAGCCATGAAATAATAAGCGTTTTTTTTTTATTCTAAGGCCTTCTAGCTTGAGCCTTTAGGTCACATTCACTTCATATTTTCAAACTGTCCTCTGCAGCCATGAGGACTAGAAATCTAGGGCTTCTCTATGCAAGGACACTCCAGAAAGTTAACCTGAAGTTAAACTGGATTGGTTAAACTACGTTCATCTCCTGTGTAGATGCTCTTATTCAGAATTAAATCGGTCCTAATTCATTCGTTTAAATCATTTGGCAGCGGTTTAATGCAGCTTGTTTAATCCACTTTTAAAAAGTTAGTTCACATTAAGTTTCTTGAGCATCCCAGTGTAGAAAAGCCCCCCCACCCCCTTTAAATGGCAGCTGAGATTTTCATGCAGTCTCTTAATTCAAGCATCTATGGTTTTATGAAAAAACACGAACTATAGTAAGATTGGTGGTAAAATCTGACAGCACCATATTTATGACTAGTCAGCATTTGTAGTAAAATTCACCCTGTTGAGAGACAGCACAAACTCTACACACAATTTAATAACCAATTAAAACTTCACAAGAGGGTTTACATGGAGCTAAACTGGTGCCTAAGCCTTGCTGGTGTCCCTCTGCACAGTAGTGAATTTCACCTTCACTAAATTAGTTGGATGAATAATTTGCAGACTGTAGGTTGCTCATGAACTCTGCACTTTGACTATTCACCATTCATGTTGTGCAATAGGTCACCTAATTTATATAGATTTTGCTCCCCAACTGGGTGACTCACACATTTGAGAAATGAGAATAGTGAATAATAGTGCAAGGCCAGTGGGAACTGTGTGCTAAAACTGATAACGTTAGTATTCACAGTCATTTGCATGACTGCATTATGTTGCCCAAAGACTTTGGAATAACAATGACTCTTTGAATCAAATTCCATGCTTTTATTCCTGAAAAAAGTAACAAATCAGGCTTTTAAAAATTATTCAAGCAACTATAAATTATATCACACTGCATGTTTCAAAGCCACATTTTATTATAGCTGTTGAATATGATAGATCTAAAGATCAATTTTATATTGTGTCATTATAACAGTTACATAAAGACTAAGACATAATACCAGTTAGTTAAATATAGTATCAATAAATATACTGTGTGCACTTTCAGGAGGTTTACTGACGTTTTAATATAAAACTTTTTAAGATCAATGAAAGCACGTCGTTTGGGGAGCACTAAAATGACAGGCCCTGGAATGTTAACATAACTTTTATAACGCTGCAAGAATCAACAGAAATTCAATTTCTCTTTTTATAGTAAATAATAGTGTATAATTTGCTTGTTACATAATGCCTTTCATGGTATTCTAAAACCCTTTGCAACAATGAGTTACAAACCGATGAGTTAGAAACTGACGAGGCATAGCCAATTGTGGTGGCCATCTTGCATTCAGCAGTGATTCATGGATTGTCTTGGACAGTAGAGGCCAGGTCTTCTGAAGCCCCCAGCATGTTTGGTGCACACTGGGTGCTGAACTTCTCTGTGGCACTATGGGAGCTGCTGAGTACTTTGGAAAATGTGGCTTTTATTTAGGTGCCGAAGTGGGAGCTGAACTTTCTGGAAATCTGCCCCCACCTGTGCTTGCTGAACAATGAATATCTGACCACAAGGACTCAATCCTGCAAGGTGCTTAGGACTCCTCAACACCTATTGGAGAGGGTGGGAATTGGCGGCACTCAGAAATGCTGCCTGACACTGAAAGAGTGAGCTAAGAAGCTGTTTAAATGAGTGGCAATATTGACGATGACACTGGGGCTGTCCCCTATTCTTCTCAAAAAGTGCCAAGGGATCTCCCCACCTGGGCAGCAACTGAGGAGGGGCTGAGTAGACCTTGGTTGACCAACTCATCCAGTGGTGGTTGACTGCAGTCCTGCAGATTTAAAATCCCATCTCTCCCACGGGGGAATTCCCTGCCCTACTGGGTGAATTCCATGGAATAACATTGATCCTTGTTGTTGCCTCTTTTTGACCTGAGCAGTTAGCCAAAGTTTGGGGCCTGGTGCAGATGATTAATTGGAAGTAGACAGTGATGGTGGCTAGTATTTTTCCAGTCTGGTTTACTTTCAAGGAATGTACAAAGTCCTGCTTCTCCAAATACAGGAGGAACCAAGCACACAAGCAATCGTTTCTTAGCTTACAGCCCCAGACCTCTTTAACCAACATACTCCAAACATTCTCTCTAGCTTTTTCCAGGATCACATTATGCTCAAAAGTTATTAATTGGTTTTCTTGCCTCTGCCTCTCTCTGTCCTGTATTCTCCCTTCCCTCACACTATCTGCTTAACCAAAACAATACTCTGCAAAAGCCCTCTCCCCTCTAAGTCCGAAAACTCCGAGGTGGGTTCACAACCCCTTGTCTTAGGGGGATGGCTTGTAAGTATTTTATCCTGATCAGAGGTGCTGGAACTAGGAGTGCTGGGGGCGTGGCAGCTTGAAGTGGTAGAGGGTTTTCAGTTTGGTTCAATGGCTCTCAGCACCCCCACTATACAAATTGTTCCAGCACCCCTGATACTGATAGGTATGGCCCATTGAGGAGTGTGTTAACACCCAATCTCAGAGGTTTGTGATGCAACAACCACCTCTCTGCACAACTTTTCATGAGTGATGTACCCGAATATTCGGATTCTAATTTCTAACCTGCATTATTAGATCTATTCACCTAAATTTGGGTTATTGCTGATTATGTAGCGCATGACATTTAAAAAACTAACTTTGTATTTGTGGATAATCTAAGCACTATACCCAGATGTTCAGACACTCTTTTCCCAACCTATGTACTATATTCTTTTTTTTAATATTCGCTTTAATAAAATGTTTAAATCTCTCAGCATCACATTCTAATAAAATACCTTCTCTCCCTTCAAGGCAGGTTTGTTCTGAAAGATCCAGGACTGTATAGACACTGCTCAGTCGGTGGTTTAATAGTTTTCTATCTAACCCTTTGGAGGGAGTGAATTTAGTGCTGGTGAAAGGCACTGGGCTGATAGAATTGGAGATTGATGTCACTGCAGAATGGTGGTAGCAGGGATAGTTGCCTCCCTTCTCCCCCAATTTGCCACTGGTATAGAGGGACCACATCTGGCAGTAAGGGTTAATTCATTCTCCATGGCTCACTCAGTCCGTGGGTATTCTACTGAGTCTGCCAATCATAGAACACCCATCTTAAGAATGTCACAGAGGAGGAAACACAATATAAAAATGTGTTTCCCTTTGAAAAGACTTCTCAAGCACAACTCTTAGTTAAACCAGAGCTATGGATGAGTAGAGGACCCCACCAACCATTTCTGAACCCATCTTAAAAAGACGTTCTGGTTTCAAAGGCAAGAAGATTTTAGAAAGCCTGGAAATCAAAAATGACATGTCCAGTGGGAGAAAGACTTCTTGTCTCTGCTGGCGGAGAGAGAACGCTTCCATATTGTCAGAGGAATGATGAATAAAATTGGCCAGGATGAGAGAAGAGAACCAAAAATGAGAGAATGTTACCATTACATTCAACGAGTCTAATTCATTGCTCAGGATAAAAACTCAGCTAAAATTGCTCGGAAGAGCTCCTCTCTGCTGCCTCCTTCAGAACATCTGACCCTCTCTTTTGGCTGAAGCTTGCACATGAAAGCTTTAAGCATCCAATGCATGTTTACGTACATTAAAGCCAGCTATGATTAAAGCAAACATTTGCTTTCAGGCAGGCAACCGATCAACGAATAAATAAATCGTAACAGCCTGAAAGTTTCTACCGAATCTAAGTGAATAGACACGGTACATTGGAGTAAAGTTTCAGTGTGTCATCTGATGAGCACTGGTTTTCCACAGGTTTCCACAAACTGCTTCTTCTTTTAGTGTTTAAAAACAAAACAAAACAGGAAACAACTGTTTCCCCTGACTGAAAGTAGATAAGAAACCCAGAAAAATCTGACTTTGCAAAGTTTCTTACATTTCGAAAGGCAGACAGAAGCATGTGAATTTTAGTTGTCCAGTTATTGTCAGGTAACAAATTATAGATTCCCCAACTGGGAGACCTGCCATAGCTTTACATTTTCTGGTTTCTCTTGTACTGAGTTCACTTTTGTTTGGGCATCTCTGTCTTGGGGGCATGTTTTCTTATTTCAATGCACTTTAAAATGATATTCACCAAAATCTTTGTATGTTACAAAATGTTGCTTTTTCTTATACAGGATCTACATGGTTTCTTTCATATTAGCCAGCAAAATCAAACAATTCAAATGTCTGAGTAGCCAATGACAGCAGCATTTTCACACAGAAATCAGCTCCGAATTACCGTTGCATATAGTTCATTTTATTTAGTTTTATTATAAAACTTTGGAAACAGTAAGCCAAGTCTACTCTACCTTGAAGGAAACAGCTTGTACTATAAGATAATACAGTTATTTATATGAAAATATATTACTATAGCAAAATGCTATACTGGTCTCTAACACCCACATCGGGCAAATATTTGTGACATTCAATCTGATTCTTTTAAAGAATGACATTTCTCCTTAGTTCTCTTTTGAAATGATGGGCCAGTCAGGATGTTAATTAAACAAAGCACATTGTGGGTTGGAGGGAGACACTGTCAAGGTGAAAAATCAGATTTCTTTAAAAATTTGTCATAATCTGTGTTTCTAATAACACATAATTGAGATTTAATGCCTTGATCCTTTCATCTGATCTCTGCAGGCACTTCCTTATGGCCACGGAGACTCCCTTTGCAGTCAGGGGTCTGCCCAAGAGAATTGCCTTGCAGGATCATGGTCTAAATCATTTAAAAAAACATAATTTCTTCTTCACTATTTGTGGCGGTTGTTTCCTTTATGCATTTCACTCACTGGGCTATTCAATTTCATTTTCTGCCTGTCGGCCCCAGTCCTTCAAACACTTAGTCACATGCCTAGCCTTAAGCATGTGAGGAGCCCATTAAGTTTAATGGAAAGACTCATGTAGTTATAGTTATGCACACCTAAGTGTGTGCGGGACTGGGGGTGATAGTCAGTTTCATTCTCTGTTGCTCGTGCATTAGAACAATTCTGATGTCTGTGGGTTTCCAAATCTGTGAGGGGATGATTTAAATTAGGAAAAAAATATTTCCATTGAATCGAATCAGAAAATCCTTTAGAAGAACATTATTGTTCATATTCACTTTTGTAAAACAAAACAAAAAAACCTTTTACAAAATCCAAAGTTTCAGCTCAAGCTACTTGACAGTGTCTCAAAGTTTCAATCAACTTTTAAAAAATTTGTTTCCCATTGTACTTTTTACATGCTTTTTGCAAGCATTCTTAACTGCCTGGATCTGATTATCCTCTCAGTGGAGATACTTCTGATATACACCAGTGGAAGTGAGATCAGAATCAGTTTCTTTTTATACATACTGGTCACCATCATTGTTACAGAAGCACAAATAACAGAGAAAGTTTCCACTGGAGATTATGTGCAGGGTTAATATGCCACCGCCACTTTAAAACAAGTGACGGGAGAAAAATCACTTACGTACATAAATGTGATAGCACAAAGAGGAGTTGCATATGAAAGCTTACAATAAGTGGACTATAAATACAGACTCCTGGAAAATAAATAAATATGGGTTTGTTTTGTGGAAGTGAGGCGTACTGATAGCTAATCTGGGACTGCGGCTGGTAATATTTTGGGCTGTGAAATGTATGATAAATATACACTGGAAAGAAATTGTATGCGTCTCATGTGAGGAAAGACTTATTATTGCTCTAGGACTTCCTAGAACATGAACAGAATATATCTATATCTGTATATAAATATCTCCAATAGTTTCTTTTTATGTACCATGTACTGTACGTTTCACTCCTTTCCCTTAAACTCATTTTACCATGATTTAGTGCACCAGGCATTAAGAATTGATGACTTGATTTTGATATATATTTCAATCAGGTGTAGAAATCTATTGGGATTGCATCATGATCAAAGAATAATGCCACAGCACCCCATTCTAGAAACAAAGAACTATGTGGATTTCTATAACTGTCATAGAACTGCTTGAATTTTGCCTTCACGGACACACTTCACAGAAGTGCTAATATCAGGCTGCTGAAAATTACCTGTCCTGGACAGGTGCGCTGTGATGAGAGCATCTTAGCTTAACAGTGGTACCTTCCTTGGGCTTAACTCACAACGAGGCAACTAGGAGGAGAAAAGCAGGAGGCAAAAAGAGAAAAGACCAGGTTTTTTTAAAAACTTGCAAGCTGGGAGCACTGCAATAGCCAAGCTCTTGTGGGGCATGTTCAGTGCTTCTTAATTGCTTTTGGATGCAGCAGTATCATGGGGATAGATGCCTTCTGAGATAGATATTAAGAGAGCCAGGTGATAGGGGGATGGGAAGGGTGGAGGAGTGGGCCATGGGAGGGTTCTTCTCTTACAAAGGGGTTTGCAGTAAGAAAAAGATGGAGAACCTTTGCAACCAACCTGAAGCAAAGCCAGTTTTCCAGCACTGATGTGCTTGTACAGAGACATGGAGGCAATGCTCAGACCATGCTACGGTTGCATCATTTTGTCTCCTTCCATGCGTCTCTCTCTCCATCTCCCCCACACCCGCTTGTCTCAACTTGCCTTGGCTCTTTTCTCTTCCTCCCCTCCACCGCACTCTTGTAGAGCCTATATTCTGTTAATTTTGTCAGCTACGTTAATGCAACAATAAGCTATCTCCTGCTAGAAGGAGGAATGCAATGGAGAGAACAGGCTGGCTTCCTTGCCAGTCTAGCTGCATTATATATATATATAGTGTGTGTGTGTGTGTGTGTGTGTGTGTGTGTGTGTGTGTGTGTGTGTGTGTGTGTGTGTGTGTGTGTGTGTGTGTGCGCGCGTGTGTGTGTGCGCGCGCGCCTTAAATTAGAACTCATCAACTAAACCTTGTCAGGATCTCTAGAATTCTCTAATGTGTGTGATTCCCATTATTGGTTTATGAGAGGCATGCACTTGCATTGGAAGGAAAATATATCTCAGCTACATTTAGCAATGTGCAATCCAGCAAAGCACTCTGAGTACATATATAACGCAGTGTCACTTTCACTGATCACATGGAAAGACATGTTGAAAGTGGAGGAAGTTCCAGTGAGAGAGAGAGAGAGTGTGTGTGTCTAGCTGCAAAATTAATTCTTTGGGTTCTTTACATGACTGAGCTTGGGGCCTAGGGGCACTTAAGAATATAAAGCTCGAGTCTATTAGAACATGACTTGAATAGTCATCAGTGAATTGTTTATCACGGGAGTGGTGGGAAAGCCAGGGAATTTCCCTGAGACAGTATGACCTAGAAGACTGAGCAAGAGACTAGCAGTGGAAAGTTCCTGAGTTCTGCTCCTGGCTACACCTCCTACTCCCACTGTTGCCGTGACATCGACCCCGCTCTCTGTGTAGAGGAACCACTAGTGCTAGCCAGCCTAGTGCCTAGAAAAAGTTACAGCAGCCTTTCCTTTCAGAAATCACTGCCGGAGTGAGCATCTGGGTATAGGGGAGTTCTGGCCATCTTGGCGGGGGAGGGAGCGAGGAGGAGAAAACATTTTGTTTTCAATATATGGAAATTTCTAAAATGTTGTGGTTTCTTTCCTCAAAAAGCTACCAAACCAAACCAAACCAAACTAAAACATCACTTTTGAGGGAACATAACACATTTTCAAAATGGTCCCTATTCTGAGTGACTACACTTATCTGCTGTACAGCAGGTTGAAAGTTTTCAAAATTTGAAATTTTTCTGAAAGTTTTGCTCAAAATTTCAATAAAAATCTCATCCCCTCCCCCCAAGATTTCTCCTCCTGACCCAGTTTTCCAACCCGTTCTAATATTAGGACTTTTTTCAGAGTGAGATGAATTTTTACAATGAAACATTAACATTTTGCATGCTCCAGTGTAAAAATGGACAACCCATTCGAAATGGTATAAAAAGAGCCATTTCTGGGCAGCAGAACAACATAGCCCACAATTTCTGCAAAATTTCTTGGGGGAAAAAATATCAGTAATGTTTTTGTTTGTTGGTTTGTTTTGCAAACTGCAAGAAATTATTTTAATCTACTTTCCAGGGCAGTTGTTAGGGATTCATTAAACAGTTAATGATTTACACAGTGCCTTGAAGATTTACATTTCTATATTAGTACAAAGTACTGAGCAAATCTCTTTTTAAGAGTGCCAAGAAGTAATTGCCTGTTGAAAGGGGCAATCTGAAGAAAGGTCAAACAAACTTACGTTGGAAACTTGAACAGTTTAAAGTGGTTGTTTAAGGCAAAGGGGGGTTGTTTATTAGAGGTGGAATATAGGCTTAATTGATTTGTTTGTTCCCCGTCACCTATAAACTATTTATGCCCCACTTGTAGGTATTCAAGAGGTTCCTAGCTTTAGCATGGAAATGTATTTCTCTCTCCTCTGCCTCCCTGTGTTTTTTAGTGGTTTGGTGTGGTGTGATCTATTTGGTGATGTGTCGTTTAATTCAACTTTCCTCCCCCAAAGGACAATGATGGGCACCCAGCCACACAGGTGAAGGAGAATACAGGCTTTTGAGAGCACAGATGCTCGGCACTAGGACACCCTGATCCTGCACTCACTAAAATCATTAGCAAAACTCCTGTGTGACTTTAGTGATACATTTGATCAGGACCCTAATTAGGAGCAGTTGCTGTCAGAAGCCTACAGTAAAAAAGCACCAAAGAATGTTTTGTCTTCTTTAGTGTAATCCACCCATTGGATTTCACTAACATTGACCATCAGCCTGTCCCCCTCCTCCATGAAAAGCACTGCCCCTAAGTAAATAGGCTGGAACCAGTTGTTTCCCATCTCACACAGAGTCTTGGTGGCAGTCAGTAGTTGGGTAGGCTCAGGGTAGCTGTCCGTGACTTTGGTGATGGTCTGCGTTATGGAAACTGGTTTACTGTGATTTGGAGTGGGCCCTCGGAAAGTGACCTGAGAGTAGATGTAGTAATCCCCGGCCTTTGGAATCATCAGTGACTTGTTGGTGTAGTTCATGTTGTTCTTGGTGAAGGCTAAGCCTCGCTCGTGTTCCCACTGGAGAACTGGCAGCTGGTTTCCCATCGGGGGAGAAATATCTTGTTTCTTAACTGAGGAGATAAAGGAGAAAGGAAAGAAATCAGTTAGTTCACCTGTTCAAGCAGGATGTGTGGCACTGAGCATAACTCAGGTGATGGAGTCCTTCAAAAGAAAACAACCTGCCAGCACATTCTCTTTAGTAAGGGCTCACTCTGATGTGTATTACTGTAGTGCCCAGAGGCCCCACATGAAATCAGAGCCCTACTGGGATAAGCACTCTACGTACACACTGTAAGGGTACGTCCACACTATCCGCTGGATCGGTGGGTAGCGATTTTTCTATCAGGGATCGATTTATCACGTCTCATCTAGACGCAATAAATCGATCCCCAAACGTGCTCCCCGTCGACTCCGGAACTCCACCAGAGCGAGAGGCGGAAGTGGAGTTGACGGGGGAGCTGCGACTGTCGATCCCGCGCCATGAGGACGGGAGGTAAGTTGATCTAAGGTACGTCGACTTTATCTATGCTATTCTTGTAGCTCAAGTTGTGTATCTTAGATCGATTCCCCCCCCCCCAGTGTAGACCGGGCCTAAGAGACAGTATCTGCCCCAAAGAGCTTACAGGCTAGGCAAGGCAAACAAAGTGTCAGAGAAAAGGAATATTATTACTCCCATTTTACATATGGAAAACAGAGGCACAGGGCGATTATGGCCAGATTTTCAAACACAACTAGCCATTTTGGGTGCCCATCTTGAGACGCTGTAAAGGGACCTAATTTTCAGAGAATGGACGCCGGGGCCCCTTTAAGGTGTCTCAGTTTGAGCACCCAGGAACTAAGCCACTTGGTGTCATTAGACCTGATGCCGCACAGCAAGTCTTTGGCAAACTGAGAATAAAGCTCAGCTCTCCTGAATTCTAGGCCAGCACTTACCCACAAGACAATCCTTCCTCAGGGTGCAGTCTGGTCACATCAAAGGGGGAAATTCACTCCAGTGTGTAGAAGGATTTGCCTCCCCCCCCCCCTCCTCCCGCCGCAAGGCCCAATGCACCATTTCACACCAGTTTCAGGTCTATATCAACACCTCATCCTAAAATGCAGCTCTGGGGCACCTGTGTGAATGATTACAGCAACTGTACATAATGGTGCAGGACAGTAATCAATGAGACACCCCATATCCAAGGGACCCTTCAGTCTATAATTACCCTAACTTATTAGGCAGGACAGCCCTTGAGAAAAAGTGACATGGAATCTTTTCTGACCACAAATGATCAGCACCTTGGTGTTAATCTAATCCAAATACACCTCCACCCCGATATAACGCTGTCCTCGGGAGCCAAAAAAATCTTACTGCGTTATAGATGAAACCGCGTTATACTGACGTTGCTTTGAACAGCCGGAGTGCACAGCCCGCCCCCCCTGGAGCACTGCTTTACCGTGTTATATCCAAATTTGTGTTATATCAGGTTGCGTTATATCAGGGTAGAGGTGTAGGTGGCAACTCCACCTGCAAACACTGTCCCAAAGTCATGTGGAATCTAGGTAGATTATCCTCCTTGTGTGTCCCATGCAAAACTATTTTTGTGACTTAAACCTATCTCTAACTATGAAGGGTTCAGATGAGGTTTCTATTGGGGGCAGTTTATCCCACATCTCGCTACTGTGGGGTATCTTGTACCTTCTCAGAAGCAGCTGGGGCCAGCTGCTGTCAGAGACAGCACACTGGAGCAGATGGACCCCAGGTCTGATTCAGTCTGGCAATTCTCATGTTCTGGTTTTTGCAGAGTTTGGAGGGAGGAGATGAGGCATGGTGGGACTTTTACCCTTCCTGTTTTAATCATCTCTCTTCCCCCATTTGTAATACAGCTCAGGCAAGTAGCTAGGAAAACAAGAGCCCTATATTTTATTTATAGGAGTGATTTCTGCCAGGGAACGGCAGTCAGCTTTCCTAGTAACTGTGTTTGTCACAAAAAATTGTTGTGGTAAAGTTGCAGCTGAGAAAAGTAAAACATCTGACTTCTCTGGGCAATAAAAAGAAACATACAAGGCTACTGATAAACAAACAAGAAAGACAGAGGCAACTGATTTCCAGGAGATGAGACCTTTTCTTTTGTGTGAGCGTGGGTTAATACAGAATGTTTGCTCTCTTTCCATATCATTCAGTTTCGGGTGAAGTGGATGAATTAGGTACAGGAAAGAAAAACTTTGGAATTCTTCCAGACTTAAGTGCTAAGTATGCCCTGTGTGGTACGGGATTCAACAAGATCACACACAATTACTACAAGGAACAGGATTAAGGGCGTGTGGCTGAGAGATGCCTCAGCTCCTGTTAATGTCACTGGAAGTGCTGGGGGCTCAGAATAGGTAGGTCTACACAGCCTGCAGAAGCAAGCCTCCCAGCCCACATCGACAGATGGGCTAACAGGGCATGTGATAGCACTCTACAAATATACGTGTAGACAGCGCTTTGCAGTCAGGGCTTGGGCTCTGAAGCCTGGGCAGGGGGGTGGGCTTCGGAGCCCGAACTCCAGCCCAAGTCACAATTTCAAAGCACTGTCTCCACAGTTTTTTAGAGCACTAGCATGAGCCCTGCTAGTCCAGACCTGGGTTGGGAGACTCACTGCCCCAGGCTGTGTAAACCTACCCAATCTGGTCTGAAACCCCATTTCCAGAACATTGCAGCAACTACTGGCTAGCACTGGTTTTCTCCTCTGGTAATATGTAATCCATAAGCGGAGAATGAGCCGTAATGCCTGGCGTTTTCACTGAGCAATATAACGCTATGATGGCGGGAAGTAGCCTCTGCAATAATGGATTTTGAGCTCTAGTTCATTCTAACTTTTCTCCAGAAAAAGGTAAAGCACACAGATGTGTGGGGGAAGACAAGGATTGCAATAGCATCTGGCATGGAAGGAAGGAAGAGTGTTCTCAGATCTTTGGCTCCAGCTGTATAGAAACTGAGGTTAGGGGAAGCAAATGGCTGTCTGCTACCTCACACTTCCACAGGGCTTCCTGGGGGTGTTCAAACCCTGATATAAATTAGAGCAGCCTTAGGCCTTGCAATAGCCCCTCCCCGAGGGCTAATTCAGCAGCTGGGGAGGCCGGAGTGCAGGGGTCTCTATGTATGCAGCTCCCTACCAACCCTAGCATGGCCCCTACACTGGAGTGCGCCACATCACCTGTGCCTGGTATTTAGGACAAATTTAAAGCTCCTCTGTGCTACTGTAGCAGCTCCAAGCAGCCTCAGAATCTGGCCCAGAATCTGTAAGATTAAACTGGATTTACTGGGGACAGATCTGACTCTGGTAGGCCCACTTTCTTATTTATCTGAGGCTGTGTTTACACTTAAAAATGCCACAGCAGCTCAGCTGTAGTATTTTAAGGGTAAATATGTATTTGACCTAGGGAGGTGGTGGAATCTCCACCCTTAGAGGTTTTTAAGGCCCGTCTTAACAAAGCCCTGGCTGGGATGATTTAGTTGGGGTTGTTCCTGCTTTGAGCAGGGGTTGGACTAGATGACCTCCTGAGGTCTCTTCCAACCCTAATCTATGATTCTGATTCTATTCACTATAGCACTAGATCATCACTGTAGTTAAGCCACCACCCCAAGAAGCGCTAGTTAGGTTAACAGAAGAATTCTCCCATTGATCTAGCTCTGTCTAAACCAGGGGTTAGGTTGGCATAACTACATCTCTTAGGGGTGTGGATTTTTCACATTCCCGATGGACACAGCTATGCCAGGTAAGTTTTCAATGTAGACCAGCCCTTTGACAATCATAAAGTGAGTGTGACTGTAATGCGTGTTACCAAAGTGGCCTAAATCAGGCTCTGGAAGTTCAGTGATCACCCTTAAAAGGCCAGTTGTTCCCAACCAGTAACAGGACAGTCGTTTCCTAAACTGACTTAGGGAAATGCTCAGATACCACCACACCGTGATAGCTGTTCGTTAACAATTTAGTAGTGACTATCATTTTCCCCCCTCCCCCAAAAAAGCAATTAGACTGAAGGGGGTGCAATAGCTCAGTGGTTTGAGCATTGGCCTGCTAAACCCAGGGTTGTGAGTTCAATCCTTGAGAGGGCCATTTGGGGCTTGGTCTTGCTTTGAGCAGTGGGTTGGACTAGATGACCTCTTTGAGGTCCCTTCCAACCCTGATATTCTATGAATGCACTTTCAGTGACAAGGGTAGAGATTAGGGACAGGAAAAATAAGAACAGACCCTATGGCTCCAATCAAACTTTTCCAGAGCTTCAAAACAGACAGGAAAACATATTTGTCATTTTCCTTTTCTTGCTCCTCTCTACTTGGAGGTACAAGCTAGTGAATGTGCCCAAACGGCAGATCAAGGAGGACCAGAAATCTTTGGTGATTTCCAGCTAGATTTTGTAAATTCAAGGGACTGAAAGAAACTTTATTCAACTGTTGGGTGCTTCCCTGAAGTAAAGAGAACATCACACAAGCTTTTGAAGTTAATTAATCAGGCGTACAGAGCTACAGTCTTATCTTCTGAGCCAGCAGTCATGCAGGAGGGGCTGTCTCTTGCCCAGTGTCTCTTGCTACTATGTCACACTGGCTGTGCACCACACATGACTGTTTTATCAATTAATGGGACCTTGTTCTCCTGCAAATCTGCACTGTTGTGTTGAAAACTTTGGAAAGGTTTGCCTTATTAGTATGGAAAAGGGTCAAAAGACACAGTCTAGCATTAGCCAGGAACTTAAGGACAAACCCAGAGAGCAAAATCCTGCTACTGAGAGCTATAGGAACCTAGGCCCTGATTCAGTGGCGTGCTTAAGCACATGCACAACTTTGCACATTGACTTCAATGGGGTTACCCGCATGCTTAAAGTTACTCGTGTGCTTTGAGTGCTTTTTGGAATCACGGCCAGAGTCCCCTCCGCTGGGTCAGGCCATGGCAGAGGGAAAGGGAGTGGATCTTGGAAGCCGTCCACAAGGTTCTCGAACCATCACAGTCGTGCCAGCCGCCATTCTGCCACTGACTTTCCCCATTATGTCCTTGCCCCCGGGTTCTCTCATCTGGGGGCTGTAGAAATAGTTTAAGGCTCAGTTCTGCCCCTCCCTCAAAGGGTGTACTACGAAGGGGTTTAGAGCATGCCGAGAGTCCCTTGCCCCTCAGCCCATCTACAGAGGAACCAAGCATCATCCCCTGGTCTGGTACCTTGACACTGCAATAAAAGACCCTCTGCATGGCCGTGGCTGGCCCGTGTCAGCTGCCTTGAGCTTGGAGGGCTCGGGCTGCAGGGCTAAAAATTGCAGTGTCAACGTGCAGGCGTGGTCTGGAAGTTGTGATCTGAAACCCCACAATGGTGGGGAGGAGAGAGGGTTGGTTCTCAGAGCCTGAGCCCACTGCAGCGTTTAGCCCCATAGCCCAAGCCCTGTGTGCCCGAGTCCATTGACCCGGGCTCTGAGAGTCGGTGCCATGGGTTTTTTGTTGCAGAGTAGATGTACCTGACAAGCTCCATGAGGGCATGGCTGGGGGTAATGCTGTCCACACCTGTTAAGCAGGGCGTAGCAAAGAGCACCCTTCAGCCTGCTCCCTCAGACTTTCTCATTGCTTGTGACATCCCCCACTCCTGCCCTTGAGAAAGGCATAACACCTCCCGGCGCCTCCCCCTCCTCAGCACTGCTCAGACGCGTGAGAGTCACAACTGAACTTAATTCTCCTCTTGCACACGCTGGTCAATGGAGTTATACTGGCGGGGAAAAGGTGCAAGTGAAGAGAATCAAGACTGTGATGCTTATGGGATATTAAAGGTCTGGTTCTCCTGTCCCTTAAACTGCTCTAGCGCCATTGACTGACAGGTGTGGCGTTACTCCTGATTCACATCACGATGAGACTACAACTAGGCCCTTTATGTTTAAATATTCCCGTTAAGTACAGCAGAAGAGTAAAATACCAGCCATTGATTTAAGCACCAAGATAATTCTAACAGTTGCTAACGGCCGCCAGCCCGAGTGTTCAGTTTGTAAGCAGCCTTTTAAAACCATAACGAGAATCTTTCATAAAGTGCCCAGCTTTGCAGACACTCTGTATGAACACAGGGCCAGATCCTCGCCTGGTATAAATCAGCATAGCTCAGTAAGGCTAAGTCAAGTGATACCCGCTTGAGCTCTGGCCCAGAGAGTCTAAACGGGAGATGACTTTCTTTCCCCTACATTTCCTGCCTTGCAACGTCTGACTGTCAGTTTCCATCAGGCATGTGCGTTTTGGCGCTCAGCTTTTGTGCAGTGCAAATGTTAGTGACAACAACCCAGGGAGGCATATTATTTTTGAACAGTTACATTACCTGTCAGGTGTGCTCTTGGCTTTCCTGCACTGGATACTAAAGCTGTAATTAAAAAAAAAAAAGAACATTTGCAAACATCCGAGTCTGATTGATTCTTCACAGAGAGAATCTGTGCAGTCCCTCTTCATTTCCGCCTGGGTCTGTTTTACGAGTTATTTGTCTAGGCTGGTTTTTTTTGTTTTTTTGTGGCAGGCAGGAATGGAATTTGGGACAGAGCTGATGCGATCACTGAACAAGCACCAGGACATGTCAATTGCACTGCAAGGCTTGTGAGAACTTGGCAAATCCTTTTAAAACAAACACTGCCCTCCCCCTCCCCACCCCCGCGAAAAGCAAAGCAAAAACCTCTTCTTTGAATTAGATTTCAGCATGCACCAGAGCATCCTTTGTTGTTCTGCCATTTCAATACTAATATAATCAGATTGTCCTCAAAAAGCCACAGGGCAGGTTTATCCCCCCACCAATGCACAAAGGAGGAAGTCTGCACATCCCTTATTCAGGGCGTGCAGCACCAACCCAGCCACTCCCCCTCTTATGCCATCTTTCTGTCCCCCCAGCCCTCCACTGCTTCCTCGAGCCTGCCTGGGCTCTGCCACAGCCGCACCCTCTCCTCCTCCCTTCCTTCCCCACCTGGCCTCCCATCCACACCTCTCTCCTCCAGCCCAGCGCTTGCCTATGATTCTCCCTGACACTCCCTGCACTGCGTGACCATTGCTGAGGAGGCCTCTATAGACCTCCTATGTTGAAAGGAGTGCGTGGGGGAATGGTGGACTTTGGTTTCTTTGCACCAGCTGCACTGGCATGAAAGGGACCACAGGGCCCCTGTGAGTCTGGCCCACAGAGCAAGAGTGAGCTGGGGTTGGCTTTCACGTGCAGCTACATTTTCCCTGCACAGAGTCCTTAGCAGCACTAATATCATAGAATCATAGGACTGGAAGGGACCTCGAGAGGTCATCTCGTCCAGTCCCCTGCACTCATGGTAGGACTAAGTATTATCTAGACCATCCCTGACAGGTGTCTGTCCAACCTGCTCTTAAAAATCCCCAATGATGGAGATTCCACAACCTCCCTAGGCAATTTATTCCAGTGCTTAACCACTCTGACAGTTAGGAAGTTTTTCCTAATATCCAACCTAAACCTCCCTTGCTGCAATTTAAGCCCATTGCTTCTTGTTCTTCTTAGCCTCTGAGGCTAGGACAATTTTTCTCCCTCCTCCTTGTAACAACCTTTTATCTACTTGAAAACTGTTGTCATGCCCCCTCTCAGTCGTCTCTTCTCCAGACTAAACAAATCAGATTTTCAAGATTTCAATCTTCCCTCACAGGTCATGTTTTCTAGACCTTTAATCATTTTTGTTGCTTTTCTCTGGACTTTCTCCAATTTCTCCACATCCTTCCTGAAAGGTGGTGCCCGGAACTGGACACAATACTCCAGATGAGGCCTAATTAGCGCGGAGTAGAGCGGAAGAATTACTTCTCGTGTCTTGCTTACAACACTCCTGCTAATACATATCCACAGATAACACCGTACAGGGAAGTAGATTCAGATATAGATTGTTATCTACCCCGAGCCTTTCCCTTCATTTATGTTTTCTATTGACTCAAACCTTCACTCTCGGCCCAACCCTTCAACTCTAACCCTGCCCAAACTTCCAGGGACTTTGATGGGATTGCAGGAGCGTGTGCCGCAAGAGGATTTAGCCCATAGCATTGCAGATGAGCTGTGCTCAGGGGAGGGTTTGCAAAGGTAGCTTTAAGCCACATGTACACCCTGCGGCCCCCAATTCTGGTTCCTTGTGGATGCTGGATTATTTCCTGATGTAGACTAGAGCAGTGGTTCTCAAACTAGAGCTGCCGCTTGTTCAGGGAAAGCCCCGGGCAGGCCGGGCCTGTTTGTCTATCTGCCGCATCTGAAGGGTGGCCAGCACGTCCCTCGGCCAGCACGGCTTCCTGCAGCCCATATTGACCTGGAGCAGCGAACCGTGGCCAGTGGGAGCTGCGATCGGCTGAACCTGTGGACGCAGCATGTAAACAAACCGGCCCGGCCCGCCAGGGGCTTTCCCTGAACAAGCGGTGGCCCTAGTTTGAGAACCACTGGACTAGAGTAGCCAGAGGGCTGTTTGTACCTGGTTGCCTATTGCCCATGCCAGCATCTGGGCATCACTGGGGGAGAGAGTTGTCCCCCAGATATGTCCCCTATGCTGGGAACTAGGATGGAGTTGGCATAGAAGCTACTAGATGATTCCCTTGTGCCGTTCTCCACTTGCCAGATGTGATGGCTTTAGGACTGGGTTGCACTGTAGAGCAGTATGAAGCCCCTTTAGCAGGACAAAGAGCTGCCGCATCCTTGCGAAGTCACCTAGCCCATCCTCCAGGCGGTTCCTTTGGGAAATCTAATTTTAAGATAATCCAAGTGATAGGGCTTCTACCCCTTTGCGGGTGAGACTGATCTATAGCATAACGGATCTCACTGGCAGGAAGCTTTTCCTGACATTCGGCCTGAATTTACTTTCCCAGACTTTAATCTCCTTTGGCTTCTAGTTACACCTTTTGCACCACACTAAGCAATTCCTTTTCCTCTAAAGGCACCTGATCTGGCCCCCACTCTGGCTCCTATATGCTGTTTCAGCAGTGTACAGCGCCCATGAAGGAACTGCTGGGGAAGAAGTCCCTCTGGGCAGAAGGAGCATAGGTCTGATATTAGTGACCTTGCACACTGTCCTCAAAGCCCAACTCTAGGGGACATGCCGGGAGCGTAGCTGGGTCAGGAAGGGGCATGTTGTGATGCTTCTCAAGGGTTACCCAGTGGTGTGAGGTGCCTCCCTACCACCTGCCCTTAACAGGAGGAAAGCTTGTCTGTGACCGCAGTGGGTCAGTTCCTCTACCCCTCTAGTCTCTGGGAACTAGGGCCTTCCAGGCCTCCGTAGGTCCCATTCTCTCTTTACAGGTTAACGATAGTCAACCTGCAATCTCCGAACATCTCAGTAGAGTGCCCAGCCCCTGATCCACTGGATTTCCCAGACCCTCTGTTCCAAAAGGAACAGTTCTCTGGCCCCCCTCCAGCGAGTCAAATCATAGCAAGCAGAAATAGTGGAAACAAAGGGTTAGCATGCACATAGCTCTTCCTACTCCAAGTGATTCTGGGCTGCAGTGCGGCTCCTAGGCAGCCAATCGGGCCCGCAGAAAGAAGGCAGAAAGTCACCTTTGCCCAACCCCTCCTGTGCTCTTTGTCCTGGGTTTATCAGAATCTGTCCCTAGGAGCCTTGTCCTCGGATGTTTGTGTTTATGGGTCATAGTTCTCTACACACCCTCCCACGCCCCCTCTACTGTACTTGTATTGTTCCCAATTTCCGGCAGGGAGGAGAGAAGTTTAATGGTCATTAGGTAACCCTCACACCTTCTGGGTGTGGCGTTCTGTCCCACCTAGTAGAGCGAGAGATAATGAGTCTGCTCTATAGCGTTAGCTAAGAAGGAGTTGGCTTTTAGCTCACGTGGTAGAGGCTCATGCACTAAACTCCTGAGGTCCCAGGTTCGATGTTACACATGGGCATTTTAACCCCTTGGAATCCTGGGACCTACTTAGTTGTTAGTAGAGAAGGCAGCTGTCTCTTTTTGATAGTCCTGGGAAAGTGCATTTCCGTATAGTGGAAAGAGAAGGAGGGTGAGGTAATATCTTTCATTGGACCAACTTCCTTGGTGAGAGAGAAACTCTTTCAAGATATTACCTCACCCACCCTATCTCTCCTACACTTAGCTGCCGTGAGGAATTTGCAATAGCAGGTACCACCCCACATGGACACATGAGTGAACAGAAGCTTTTATAGAAGAAGGAAAGGACTGGCAAACTTACAAATCGGTGATGCCTGTTGCTTTAGGAATCTAGACATGCTTTCATCTGCAACCTGTGAATAGATTCACAAGCAGTTAGTGTTCAGTTGATTGAGACAAGACAGATCATGGAGTATGTAATATTTGCAACAAGAGTCTATCAAAGCCTTTGACAATTGCCTCAGGAGACAGAGGAGGCAGCAATATTTGTTTATATCTGAACTGAGCCTGAAGTACAAGCCACCAAGTAGCTTTGGTTGTTGGTGCAAGAGCCTTCTCCTCCGCAGCTCCTGTTAGTTTGAAACTGCCTTCCAATATCCCTCTGCCTCACACACACACACACAGGCCAGATTCCCAGGTCTGGCCGATCTGTGCTAAGCATGGGACCTGGGATGGGAGAACGTTACCTCCAAGGCACCTTCCTGCTTCCTGGCTCAACTAGAGCCTGAAATGGCCCATAGAATAACTCAGGAAGGCCTAAGGGCTACTCTAAGTTATGCCACACGGAGCAGTCATCTGGGGACAGTTCTGCCAACCACGGCGTGTGGAGCACAACTCCATCCAGCCCCACTCCCTCCCATCCCCAGCCTCCCACTGAACATCTCCTACACATCAGGGAGGGGCGCCAGTTATGCAGAGGTGAAACAATGCACAGAGGTTAGAGCTGGAAGCCAGGATCTGACCCTGACTCTTTCTTATCTGAAAACATAGTGGGCCTGATCCTCAGCTGGTAGCAGACCTCCTCTGAACAGGGGTACACTGATGTGCAGCAGCCGAGGTTCTGCCCCATAATTTCTCCCTTACTTCTGTACCTTGCAATTTCTCTCTCCCTCTGCCCTTTATTATGTGACTCTGTAACTCTATCGTTTCGTTCTCTAAGGCACTGGGGAAAGAGTTTGTGTGAAAGACAGATCAATAACGAAAAGAAGCCGAGAACTCTCAGTGGCAGAGAACTAACCTTGCAAGTAAACAAGCACTTGACAGAGGAAAGGTCAGTTTTGTTTTTTTTAATCACTTGCTAAATCACTCTCTCTATCTGAGAGCCAGAGTCCCTGTGACGCGCATTCAGACTCACACAGCAAATATTGCAACATAATATTGACTCGGTCAGTGCCAAATACAAAAGGCATTTATGCAAAGCAGCAGGAAGGGCGGTTACCACTTGCCAGTCCTGCCAATGGTGTTCGCTTTTCCGATTCAAACCCACAAGAGTGCATGCATTCGTGCAAGACTTTGGTTCTTTTCAGCCAGATTCTCAGGTGATATAAATCAGCATAATTTTGAAGCCAATGGCGCTAGGCTGATTGAGGATCTGGTCTAGAGTTTGTGCATGTGCACGTCCCTGCCCCAAACCTTAATAGCAGTGCCTAGAGGCATACAATGCTTACAAAGCAACAGAGAGTCCTGTGGCACCTTTAAGACTAACAGATGTATTGGAGCATAAGCTTTTGTGGGTGAATGCCCACTTTGTTGGATGCATGAGTGAGCATTCACCCATGAAAGCTTATGCTCTAATACATCTGTTAGTCTTAAAGGTGCCACAGGACTCTCTGTTGCTTTTTACAGCTCCAGACTAACACGGCTACCCCTCTGATACAATACTTACAGTGGTTCTCAAACAGCGGAGCATTTGCTGATGGTCTACGGAAAACCAGCTTAGATGATGCTGACTCTTCTTGTTTCCAGCTGCTAAACTGCATCAACACATTGCTTCTGCCGGCACTCTACACTCAGAGCCGGCTCCAGGCACCAGCGAAGGAAGCAGGTGCTTGGGGTGGCCAATGGGAAGGGGCGGCACGTCCGGGTCTTCGGCGGCGGGTCCCTCGGTCCCTCTCTTCCTCTTTCAGCTGCCGCCGAATTGCCGCCAAAGAACGAAGCGGCGTGATTGAGCTGCCGCAGAAGTGCCGCCAATCGGCTTTATCTTTTTTTTTTCTGCTTCGCCGCTTGGGGCGGCAAAAAAGCTGGAGCCGGCCCTGTCTACATTAAAGACTCTTCTAATATTATTTCTCCCCAGGCCCAATTCCAGTAGCTGCTACAGAAATGGCAAAAAAGGCAACCTAGGCAATAATGAAAGGGCGAGCAGGTGTCCAGGAGACAACCATCAGCTAGATCATCAGCAGGTGTGAATCAGTGTAATACACTGATTTACAGCAGCTGAGGTGCTGACCCAACTCGCTCTGTTAAAATGAGGGCTAGGCAAAAGCGCGAGAAGCCCTGCAGTACAGAGTCTGCTGGGAGCCTACTTATGTTGTATGCTTATGCACTTTGGGGACCAGACTCTCACTCTGTAAATCAGAGTAGATTTCATTGTAAATGGGTTTCAATGGAGCTCTGCTGATTAACTCCAGCTGAAGATCTGGCCAATGACAATTACTACTAGAAAACAGTGATAATATTTAATGTGTATACATATATTATCCAGCTTGCATTATTTCTCTCTCTCTCTCACACACACACATACACACACACACACACACACACACCCCAGCTGCTTTTGGGGGAACAGGACACATGCTGCATGCCAACATGGTCTAGATAATACTTAGTCATGCTAGGAGTGCAGGGGACTGAACTAGATGACTTCTCGAGGTCCCTTCCAGTCCTATGCTTCTATGACTCTATGGGCAAAAGGTGAATGAATGGCTGAGTTAGCTTTGTGGCAGACGGACAATATCCTGAATTAACTTTACTGAATTAAGTTAAACCTTGTTGAATTAGTTTTAACAGCTTTGGGGTCCATTGTTTTAAAAGTGCAGTTGTGTCTGTGTTCTTGAGGAATTGTATGTTTGTACCTTCTCTAGGAGGTCGACTCACTAATGCAATGTCTGGAAGGTATTAGGAACTTCAAAGGGCTTTTTGAAACAATACCTGTGAAATGGATTTCCTAGGAAGTATCTGGGGGCAAAGGAAATGCAAATGACCCGCCTCTAATCCACCCTTTTGAAGCTATACCTTCAAAAACAGACTCCAAAGAGAGACTGCTGAGCTAGAATTGATATGCAAACTAGACACAATCAACTCCGGTTTGAATAAGGACTGGGAATGGCTGAGCCATTACAAACATTGAATCTATCTCCCCTTGTAAGTACTCTCACACTTATTATCAAACTGTCTGTACTGGGCTAGCTTGATTACCACTTCAAAAGTTTTTTTTCTCTTAATTAATTGGCCTCTCAGAGTTGGTAAGACAACTCCCACCTGTTTATGCTCTCTGTATGTGTGTATATATATCTCCTCAATATTTATTCCACTCTATATGCATCTGAAGAAGTGGGCTGTAGTCCACGAAAGCTTATGCTCTAATAAATTTGTTAGTCTCTAAGGTGCCACAAGTACTCCATACCTTCCTGAGGAGAAGCTACTGTATATTTATTACCTGCTCTAGGAAACTCCAGATCAAAGACGCCTAAACAGTATACAAGGTGGACTAAACATAGGGTGACCAGATAGCAAATGTAAAAAACTGGGACGGGGTGGGGGGGGTAATAGGCACCTATATAAGAAAAAGCCCCCAAAATCAGGACTGTCCCGATAAAATCGGGACATCTGGTCACTGGAACTAAACATGTTATGAGTGGGCTAGTTCTGAGCTGAGGCTGTGATGAATTTGAGACCACAAAGGAAATCCCTTGGGTGTGGTGCTGAAGGACTGCTCCGGCCAGAGAGCATGTTCGAATTGGGGTGATGTCTGCTAAGCTTATTAGCATTGGTGTAGGGGCTTTTTTTTTTTTTGTAACCGTTTTCTCTGTAGTGCTTTTACCTTAAGAATAAAATAGGCTTGTATTAGAAAGAACTGCCCGTCAATTTATAACTGCGGACAATCGCTCTGTTATCAGTCCCTGAACAGAAAGCCAGCACGTGCTGGGGCAGCCGGTGTCTGCTGAGAATAACAAAGTGAAGGCAGGCAACTGTACAGCCTGGAAATACCCTGCTCAGAAGGGAGTGAGACATGCCTCTCCCCACCTCCCCCCCAAAAAGGCAACAGCTGGGGAGCTGGAAGCCTGAGAGTGGGGGCCCTTGCTTGCACCACTGAGGGGAAATACAGGCACAAGTTGCCCTGAACTGAGTTGAATCTGGTGTGTGCTGCATTGAGGCTTCAGATTTTAAAACTGATGCCCGAAGCTGAGGGGCGTGTGTGGTCTAGGTCAGGAGACAGCTAAACCACTTATAAAATGGTAATTTCCCAATAGTTAAATTACTTAGAAAAGAAAAACATTGCAACAGAAAATTCCATCCCTTCCCCAGCTACCCCGCCTCTGCCCCTGCCTTCCCGCATGCCCCCCAGAAGAGCAGCATGATCTAAAAGACCCTTGTGAAAGCTGTAGGGCACAGTCTGCAAGATAGGAAGGAATCAGGAAGAACTCCCCTACTGAGGTTGACCTTAAACTGTTTGAGACGGGGCAGCTGCTCGGTACTGAATATTGCATGGTCTGCAAGAGCACACAAGATTGCTGGGATGTTTGAATACAATTGTAATTTATGATACAATGCGCAGCATCATGGTCAGCTGAATGTGTCATTTCCCTGGAGGGACTTTACCAGGCCATAGTGTGGGAATTCCGCTGGGAACATTCCTCCCCCATGCGACATTAACGACAGTTGTAATCACTTAAATGTCAAGGTAGTTACATATGCCATAACAAAGCTGTGTTCGGCCCCGATTCAGCAAGATACTTCAGCTCACACCTAACTTTAAGCATGTGAACAGCTCTGTTTATTGACTTCAGTGGGACTACATGCTCAGAGTTAGATCCCTGCTTATGTAGTTTGCTCAAGAACCTTACATAAGCGGAACCCTCGAGATTTAATTAGAGCTGATTGTTTCCCTGAAAAGTTTTGACTTTTTGTCAAAAACGTAGAGTGGTTTTGGGACAAAAACTGGGGGGTGGAGGGAATGGCTAACAACTGAAATATGTTTGGCTGAAAATCAAAACAATTTCTATTTTAGGCCAAAAGTTTTAGTTTTCCGAGGGAGGGGATCCCCAATGTGAATAACGGAGAAGAGAAGCAGTGGTGCCTAGTGGATAGAACACTTGGTTGGGACTCAGGAAATCTAGGTTCTATTTCTGGCTGT